GTCGTTGACCAATATCTCGCAACTGAATGCCAGCGGGGCCATACGGCCGGTCCCTTCACAGCTCCTCCATTCGCCTGCCTCCGCACATCAGGAGTCGGCGTGGTCCCGAAAAAATCAGGCGGGCACCGGTTGATCATGCACCTCTCCGCCCCGCAGGGGAACAGCGTGAAAACGTTCATTGACCCTGACCAATACCGCTTCAAACTGATTACGATCGACTGCATTGCCGATCATGTTCGCAGAACAGGCCCCTGCGCACTGATAACCAAGGTGGACCTGAAGCACGCGTTTCGGCTCTGTCCAGTACACCCCGACGACTGGCCACTGCTTGGCATGCAATGGAGATCGAAGTATTACTTCGACACAGTCTTGCCGTTCGGTCTGCGGTCCGCCCCTAGCTTGTTTAACCGCCTAGCAGACGCGCTTGAGTGGATCCTACGCCACAAGTACAGCATACCCGCACTCGAGCACTACCTCGACGACTTTGTTTCGGTATCACCACCAGCCACTGTGGTGCCATCGTCGACAGCCGCAGTCCACAAGGCCACGATCCTTCAGGTGTTCGACAACCTGGGTGTCCCCACTGCAGTTGGCACCGACAAGGTGGTGGGTCCATCCACGTGCGTCACCGTGTTGGGCATCGAGATTGACTCGGCCACCGGGGAACTCCGCCTTCCCACTGACAAGCTCCGCGCACTGCAACATCTGCTGCAGTCATGGTCCACCCGCCACACCGCCTCACGGCGGGAACTCCAATCTCTAGTGGGCCACCTGTCTTTCGCAGCAAAGGTTGTTCCAGCTGGACGCACCTTTACTAGACGGCTCATTGATGCATGCACTTCCGCTCACAGCTCGTCGCCCATCGTCCACCTGAGCAGCGATGCCCTAGCCGATATCCGGTGGTGGCAGGAATTCCTTCCCGTCTGGAACGGAAAAGCCCTTATGCGCGACCCAGAGTGGTCTAGGTCACCGGACCTTGAGTTGTTCACGGACGCATCCGGCCTAGGCTTCGGTGGCTTCTTTCAAGGTCGCTGGTTCGCCGGCGCATGGTCCGCAACGCAACACACGCCGCCATACACCTCCATCATGTGGAGGGAGATGTGGCCAATCTCCCTCGCCTGCCAGCTGTGGGGACCGCTTTGGACGCAGAAGAAGATCCTGCTCCACTGCGACAACGCTTCCGTGTGCGCTGCCTGGGAGTCGGGCACCTGCCGGCACCCAGGAGTCGTGGCGCTCATACGCAGCACCCTCCAGACGGCCGCTCGCCACAACTTCTGTCTGCTTATCCGCCACATCGCCGGAGTGGACAACGGTATCGCAGATGCCCTATCCCGCGCTCAGTTCCCACGGTTCCGCCTCTTGGCGCCCGGGGCCGACCTCAGTCCGTCGTCACTCGCAAACATCCACGCCGCAGCGTGAGGAAGTTGCCATCCAGGGTCCGCCGTTACCGAGATTGGACGCTCTGCTCCTGAGACCACAGAACTATGCTTCTGCCCCCGTGTTTTCTTTTGTTTCCTTTACTTTTTCCGCTGTGTATCCCTGCTCGCACAGCCTACTGCCACGCCCACCCGTTGCACCTCTGCACTAGTTGTTAAGCCCTCGCCGGGGTGTTACTGCCTATCATTTCTGCCTCAACCCTGTGTGCTTACGGATTGTCAAGTCCTTTAAAATCGCATCCCTGTGTGCTTATGGACCGAGTCAAGTCCTCTAGATTTGCCGCCCGGTGTGCTTAGGGACTGAATCAGGTCCCCTAGACGCCTGCACTTTCTTTGGGAGCAGTTCGGTCCCGCCGCTGCCTAGGGAGACCACCGCAATAGACACACCTAGATTGGGAATCAAATAGGCAAGCCGCAAGCAAAATCCGCACGCCTCATGGCAGTAGGCCTCCGCCGGTCAGAGAGCCCCGTTACACCTAGGATCATGACTGCGCTCATGGGGGTGGGTCGTACGAAGCAGGGTCACTCGCACTGACTGAATTTCTTTGTCCTTTGTTGTGTTGATTCCAGGCTCGCTGGCCGTTGCCGCATGCAACCGCTCACATGATGGCTCGCCAGCCCAGATCGCTCATCTATCCGCAGAAAAGCAACCTCCCGCAGGAGGGCCACCGCAGTCGCTTCCTCCGCAACGTACCGCTGGCCCCAGTCAGCACGCAGGGCTAGCTATCGTGTTTCTCGCTCGCTTCCTAGCCGCTGTCTAGGGCAGGTGGTGATGGATGTGCGCATGTTTGTGTATATGCTTGTGTTTATGTGCGCGCATGTGGGCATGTGCGCTGCTATACGCGGTCACTGGTGGATGCATGTGGCGCGCTATCTCTTCTCCTGTGTCCTCTCTGCCAGGCTCGCCAGCCGCCGCACTTTCCGCACGAGCCGAACAACTCAGATCCAATTCAGTGGCCGCAGCCACGCAACGCACATATGCCCCGGGCTGGCACGCATTCCGCAAGTTCATGCAACAGATTCACCGCGACCCGCTGTCACCGCGTCACGATGACATCCTGCTATTTGCCGCTTCCATGTCGCATTCTGTCAGTGCCGGCACTTTGAAAGTATACCTGGCCGCAGTCAGATACAACCTCCTCTGCAGGGGAGGACCTGTCGAAGTCCTTGCATCCAGCCGGCTCACCGCTCTGGTGAAAGGCCTGGAGAGAGAACGCGCATCGCTCCCACGGCACGCAACTGCCCAGCCTCGGAGACAGGCTATCACCGCCGTACAACTCAAGGCACTACATCTTTTCCTGCAGCGTTCCGCTTATAGCCCTGGCGACACGCTCATGCTATGGGCCGCATTGACGACAGCATTCCATGGTCTGCTGCGAGTTAGCGAGTACACGTCCCCGTCGCCAGCAGGGTCGGGTACCCTGAAAACTCTCAGGCGCGCTCACCTCGTGCTCTCTCAGGCCACAGCCAGCTTACGGCTTCAACGCACGAAGACATCGCAGCTGACAAGCGGTGGCGAGGTTGTGCTGCATCGCCATGCAGACCCGCAAATATGCCCCGTCCTGGCCCTCGAGGCATACGTCAGATCATGCGCATGGGGTAGTGACGAACAACCTCTCTTCAAGTTCGGCAATGGACGATGGCTCACGCCCAATGACATCAACGTAGTGTTGCGCAGGGTTCTGGGCCCCAGCTACAGTAGCCACTCCCTCCGTGCAGGTGGCGCAACGCACATGGCGAACCAAGGTGCCCCGGAGTATGCCTTGATGGCAGCCGGGCGGTGGTCCAGCGGAGCTTACCGCACGTACGTTCGCAGGCCTGCAGGCATGCCGCGGCGTTACTGAGCCACGGGTCGCAAGCACCGCACGCCCCCCTTTTCTTGGAGGCACGGGCTCGGCCGATGGGCACGAAATCCGCATGGTGCACATCCATCGGCTGCCGCAGACAATGCAATTAATATACTTGTGGGTACTACCGAGTACTTAGTGGTCATGCAGTTGCCATAGCAATGTACTGGTACACCCAGCCTTTATGATTGTTACATGACCCCATGGGTCGTCTTTCAAACGCTCTTTCATAGCCAATAGATGGCGTTATTTGTTCCTATCATACTATGTTACAGATGGGCGGCCTTAGACGGCCCAGTCCGATCATTGGTGCCGCATGGTGCACATCCATCGGCTGCCGCAGACAATACAATTAATATACTTGTGGGTACTACCGAGTACTTAGTGGTCATGCATGCAACTATGTTATACATCATCATGATCACAATAATCATGTCGTGCTCACGTTCAATATAAGCTTGCGACACCCCACTGGCTCATCTCTTCTGTGGTGTGAGGGTTAAAAAATCTTTCCTTGCAAGGGCACATTTTCGGCCACGACTCTTGAACGGCTGGTCAGATCGAGACAAAATTTTCAGAGATTTTGCAGCTATTCTTGCTCTTTCAACTGATGTAGCACACGATATGAATTTACAAAATCGATTTTTCAGGGATTTTACGACCAGACCCCCTTAATGAGCCAGTGTTGCTCACAACTTCACAAGCCGATTTTTACGTTATTGAATGTAATTTTTTTAATCATTGTTCCGCATGGATAATCTTTTAGTCACGACATTCCACTGATGAATGTGACATGAAAATCGATTTTAGAAAACTTTCATGGCTTCGTTAACGCGCGTTCTTGTGTGGTGATGACGGCAGAATTTGTTCTCTTTATTGCTATCCTACTAGTATTGTGTACGACAGAGGGGACAGGCCCCGTTTTGGTGTGAAACATAATGCCTTATATGAAAAGTAGGTAACCCCGGCCCATATACACTTGCTGCCATGGTTCATAAGCGCTGAACTGTCTTCCGTGTAAGGGACTGTCGCTACGTGTGCAGCCATTTGTGCGCATAAGGAACGTAAGCTGGTGGCGACGGTCGTTTCGAGCAGACCATCTCTTCGAAATGATCTGACAATTGTTGGTGGACAAGATATCAAGCCGGGTATGGATTGAAGCACTGGTTGATGTTATACTGAACTTCGCAGGTCGCTGCAAGACTGATACTGATCGTATAGCAGTAGGACATAATACAGCAAAGGACATTCCTTGCACGTCAGCAAGTGCGGCCGGGAGGCAAAGAGGCAGACGGCACGTGTGCCTCCCAGCAACACCAATTACTCCCCTGCAGCCCCTCGACTTCGAACAAGCCCAGCCTGGAGCACGTTTTACAATAAAGGGCCATCTACGACCAAGATCCCAGGAGGTAAGCACTTAGTTAGACCTGTGCTCACCATTACCGTTTTAAGGTAAAAAAATTCAACATGCCCTATTTTCAGATTTAGCGTTTCGCCAATAGTCAAATATACAAAATATGCATCCACACTCGGAGGGAGTTGTGGTTGCTGGAGACAGTGCTCACTACAACAAGATGCAGAGCCTAGTACACACACTTGAGAGGAATCAAAAGCGTGTCTGCTGGAACTCTGAGTTTCACGATCATCAGACAGCAACTGCATCTACTTTTTTCACGCTCTCTGATTACAGAATGATGGCAAACCTAGTCTGCCCTAACATCGGTTTAGCTTATAAACTTGACATACTATCAGTTAGCTTTGCACTGACGGAAAATAGCACAGGACAGGGTCAACATGTAGAGTGTAAGCAGAGAACAAGAACAGTGTTTCTACTTCAGCACAGGTCATGACAATGGCTCTTTCATTAGTTACCCAGAACTGGACTACAGTTAAAATAAATACAATAATTTAACTATTAGGGACTCCGGACTACCTTTTCGATGTCTTCCTTTGACAAAGAGACGGAAACTCGCCTTTTTCTGCAAGTGATTGACCATCACCAGGAAAGTCTGAAATAGCAATTGAGCTGGAAGGGAAATGATTGCTCAGCTGCTCGACACCGGGATGATCCTGGTTATGAAGTTTACACATCTCACCATCGATGCAGTGTTTAATTGGCAACCGTTGCATATCACGTGATCTTTGCCACATTTCATTACTGGATTTATATGCGTTTCATGCCTTTTCCAATATAACGGCCAAATAAAGATGCATTTTTTATATATATATGGCTTGTATAATAATATCTGAAACTCGGATGTTGAGCCATAAATAAATGTAGAAAGGAAAAAGACGCTATGGATATGAGTTAAGAGTAACTCTCCATCACTGTAACATGATACTTTATACAGTCAGAAAGTGCAATAACTTGGCACAAAACTGACAGAGTACTGAGACGTTCGACATCCTGACACCTAGCTTCAACACATCTCCGTAGCGCTAACCGACAGCCTTCCAGCTTGGAAGGTTCAAGGTTATGGAAAGACCAAAGAGGGGAAGGCAGGCGCAACGAAAACAAGCAAAATGATGGAGTGATGTGATGGAGTGATGGAGAGTTACTCTTAACTCGTATCCATAGTGTCTTTTTCCTTTCTATAATAATATTATCTATACAAAAGAGAAAGACCAAGGTTTGTTGTTGTTGTTTTCTTTATTTGAATTCACTAAAACCAAACGGACAGAACTGTCCAGTGACAAGGGAGCGAATGATGAGCATCATAATCACAATGCATCAAAACAGCTCAGGGCAAAATGAGACAGACTATAATTATTAAAGGAGGGTTTGCACAACACTTGTACATAAAGGGGAGTACGAGAACAAAGGCGCAGCAGAAGTCGAAGCAAGAAAGCAATCAACGCCAGAGATGGTTTTGTCCACCAAAAACAGAGAGAGAGAGAGAGAGAGAGAGAGAGAGAGAGAGAGAGAGAGAGAACGAGAGAGAGAGAGAGATCCGAGAGAGAGAGAGAGAGATCCGAGAGAGAGAGAGAGAGATAGAGAGAGAGAGAGATCCGAGAGAGAGACAGAGAGAGAGAGAGAGAGAGAGAGAGAGAGAGAGAGAGAGAGAGAGAGAGAGAGAGAGAGAGAGAGAGAGAGAGAGAGAGAGAGAGAGAGAGAGAGAGAGAGAGAGAGAGAGAGAGAGAGAGAGAGAGAGAGAGAGATCCGAGAGAGAGAGAGAGAGAGAGAGAGAGAGAGAGAGAGAGAGAGAGAGAGAGAGAGAGAGAGAGAGAGAGAGAGAGAGAGAGAGAGAGAGAGAGAGAGAGAGAGAACTACAAGTCACGCTATACTGTCCACTAACACCACCAGCTACTAAACAATCAGCTCATGCGATAACATTGTACGACACTGACCGACGGTACTGACGTTCTACAACTAACTGGCTAACAGCTCCATAATAATATCTGCATCCAATTTCGGGCACCAGGTTTGAGATGGTTCTAGTCAAAATTTTAATTTCTTCCTGAACTTGTTGACTTGTTGATTACAGTCAGTGTCAAAAAGATTAGCAATCTTGGCGATCGCTGGGGAGTTTGCCGTCGTATGAGCGCTCGATCGCTGCCTGGAAAAACTTGTTGTGAACCGGAATAACAGAGCGTCTCTGTAAGTTTGTATTCCTGGTGATGTTTGTGCCTAGAGAGCACTATATAAGTGGTGCTCTTCAGGCACAATCTTCCTCAGCCTACTCAAGCTCAACTGATGAGGGGTGAATTGCCACAACTTGCACTGATTATTGAGCTGGGACTGTTGCGTTTTCGCAGGTTTGCCAAGTGAAAGGTTCGATGGACTTATCGTGTGCTCTGGATGACAGTTGTGAGTCAGTCAAGTGTCAAGTCAAGTCGGCGGAATAGCGCGAGCTCCAGGGTGGGAGCAAACCCATTTCTAAAAAATCATCGCCGAAGTCACAACCACTATTTAACACTGTATGGAATAGAATAATGTTATCTATCGGTACTCCGAACCTGACGCAATTAACAGTCCAAAACCCCTACATTTCTCCATACTTGACAGTTTCTGGTCCCTGTGGCACGGTATGTGCATGTGTGGGTGGCTCTCAACGTGCAACATTGTCAGCGGTATGTTTGTGTATACGGTGCGCCAATTGGTGCCAGATAGAGGCGACGGTTCGATACCGGACCGGCTTGACAGCCAAATTTGTATAGACCCAAACCGATCATCAGCGAATATTGTTCTCTTGAAATATGTTTGTGGAAGGAAACTGGCATGTTGAAGTTTGCTCTGAGGCCAGAGTCAATCGAACTGAGCCACTCCTTTGTGTTGACCCATTGCCTCCAAGTTGCCCAATTTTTCGCTTCAAATCAGAGGTGGCTCCAAACCGGACATGTTTTATGTTTTATGTGTCAAATTCACTCTGGGTCTGAAATTAGGTAATTGCTATCGCTCCATGACGGCCAGTACAGAGTAACAATAAGCCTTGTGTGTGCTTCCATTAGTTTTGATCGGTATGCGGTGCTTTATTGGCGAGAGAAGGGCCGGAGGCCGCTTCCCCGGAGTGGTGCGGCCGAAGGGCCATCTTGAAGGGGTCTGGGGGTCCTCCCCCAGAAATTTTTTGGAATTTAGACGGCGAATCCTGCACTCTGGGCGACTCCCTGTACAAAATCATACATCGAAACTCTTTCTCCCCGGTTTTGGACGTTCCATATTCCGACTTTTTGGGAATTTTTTTTTTTTTTTTTTTTTTTTGGTACAGCCATGGGCGTACCGGCCGTACCAGTGGCGCCGGCCCTGGAGAGGCAAGCCGCTGTTTACCTGCGACAAGAAGTTGATTTTTCGAAAGTCGTAAAACTCAAGTCGCAGTGGGAAGCAACACGTCAAAAACTCAAATGCTTGGTATGGTGCTTCTGGTCATCGCAGAGCCATGGAATTTTGGCGCTGAGTAAAACACATCGTAGTCTCACTGTGACAAACGTTTTCTAATCAAAATACCAGGAGAGAAAGACATACAGCATTCCCTCGCTCAGCATTCCCTCACTAGTGGGACCATTGTTATTAGGCTAGGGCCTGTTTTGGACTTCCCACTCTAAATAAAGAATACAAACAACAAACAAACAAACAAAGTGAATATTGAGACAGTTCCGGTTTACAACCTATGTCCTATTTGAAACCGTCGCCTCTACCCTGGGTTTACTGTAAGGTCATGTTCATCTTGGACTTGTGTGGACTTTTCTTATGGTCTGCCCTTGTACACACACACACACACACACCTGTTCC